TGTGTGTACGGCAGTGTTCAAAGGCATATTATTGCTTTTTGAACAACGTTTGCAATAAATACCAAATCAAATTGTAAAATTTAATACATATCGTGAAAATGGCGAAATGTACATAGCAACTCTAATTCGCAATGAGACTTTAAATTCCGTTTTAATTTGAAAAGTGAATGTTATGTAATGAAAAGCGAAAGCTCGCTGTTTCAAGAGCTTTGTGACTACTATTTTGGTCTATTCTCTTGATTGAGAGATGTGTTACTGTAGCAAAAGCGCATCGACATTTTAATTTTCGAATTTGTTCAGTATCCAATAATCCAACCAACTCAGTTATTATTAAAACAAATAAGAAGATGAAGAAAGGGTAAAAATTTACGATTTGACCAAAGTTAGGTTACTTTGATAAAGTTTGCATTCATATTACATATTACTTATTAAAACAGGTTAATAGAAACACATCCGAAATTCAGTTTTGAGTTTTCAAAATATATTGATTCAGCTACTCGAGTATAATATATAATAAACAGTGTAGTAAACTGAACTAATTTATTGATGGCAACTCTTCAATTGAATTAGGAATAATACAACTAAAATTGCAATCATTCAATTTTGTTAACTGAGATTATGTTTTTGATTAACCTCTGAAGATTTCCACCTTGGATAACAAATGCCCTTCTTCTTTATGTTGGGCATTTTCCATGATACTATTCATAATATGTTTTAATAAGCCATTTCGATTTGCCATACTGTGATTTTGACACCGCTTCGTGTCGGAGCAGTAGTTCAATTTCAAGTAGTATGTGTTAATATTTAAATCTTGTGTAAAGTCTGTTCATAGATATAAGGAAGTGACTAACTGATACGAATTAAGGAAAGACCCGTGCAAGCTGTAAGAATGAAATATGGCCCAACAGGTCCGTACTTTGCTTAGAATTTAATTATTTAGAGTTTTGTTAGGCAAGATACTAAACAATATTTATTTATGTTTAAATCTAAAATAAAATTACAAATTATTTTTATTACCTACTTAAAATACTTAAAATTATTCACATAATATATCGCCTGTTCTAATTATTATTTGTTCTATATGGATATGCGATTGTTCTGCTTTTTCTATATGATTAACAGAATTTGCCCAACTTTGTGGAGGGATGTTAAAAACTTCGGTTTCTATAACATTGTTATAATCTAAATCCTAATTTTTTCTAGATATTCCAGTCACCATTTCCGAATTCTAAAAGATTCCATTAAAACTTGCCTTTGTCAACTTTTTTAAATCTAAAACCCATGTGTTGAATACATTTCCATAAGGTATTTCTGCCACTTTTAACATCGGTTTCATCTTTTTCAAGCCGCCTAATTAAGATGTCTAATGTAGGCACGCTTTGTTCCTCGTATAACTGGTAAATTTTACGCCGTATTAAATCTTGATCACTTTCATCTACACTCGAGAACATGTCATCATCGCTTAATAATGTAGTAATAGGATTATTCACAATTTTCGTCAACGTGGCCCTTTCTTCTAAAGATGCATGCTTGCTGGCACCACGTTCAAAGAGAGTCAAATAAACATTGCTTATAACTTCCTTAGTCGCAATAGATTAGTGTTTTCTACATTTGAGCGGTAGCACCTCCTGAGATACACTAGACTCGCACATATTTTGCATAATTCACACACGATTCAACACAGGCTGTATTACACACGAAATAAGAACTTAAACTAAGTAGTATACCAAACCAAAGAATATTAAACACAGGTAGGTATAAAATTATTTTCTATTACGAACCACAATTTTATCTGAATTTATTTTCCGAAACTTTAGGTAATAATCTTGTTGTATTCTATGTTGATGACCACCTTTGGATAATCCATTCAAAAGCAATTTGTCACTTCCTTATATCTATGAACAGATCATTCCTTCCATATTACAGTATTGCAGTCTGGTCGTACACTTCTTTTTTAAATGAAGAAATTTGAGAAATGGTTTTACGGTTTCTACTTTCACGTTTTACCCAGAGGTAGTAGTAGTACGGATTTTCGAACTGTTTCACAGTAAATTAATATTCAACGAAAAAGACTACCACTTAAGTGACAGTTACTAATAATCAAATAATGTATGTGGTTTTAACGACAGCAGATTGGCATGGTCTACTTTAATAAAGGCTATAGACAACTTCTAGAGCAAAATCAATAAGATGCACGATTTTAGAAGTATTAGTTTAACTCATTCGGCTTAATTAACACATCTGCGATTTCCCACCAAAATTTGGACGTTTTTTTTACACTCTCTTAGGAGAAAATCCTAGAACACTACAATTGATATTGTTATATTCCACAGAGCAGTCACTTATTAAATACTAACCTATCTATAGAAAAAGACGAGGAAATATGGTGCGAAATTGTGAAATATGTGGTAAAACATTTTAAATAAAGCTCTGCAAATGTGGGATTTTCATATGAAATTTTGGCTCTACAAACCTATCTGAAATTTAGAACCCGAATAGTGGTTTTGTTTTGTTTCACTATAGGATTATAAGCAAGTATTTCAACAAATGTTTGGTAAACTAGTAGAAATATTAAAATACAAATTTTCAATTTTTCAAAGAAACTTCCGCAGGCTGTTGTAATACTATTTTTCTACTCCCATCTGTAAAATGCCTAATTACACACCGACCTAGTGTGCGGGAAGCGTCACTTTACCACGTCAGTTTTATTTCGCACGCATCCGAGCCACTTCGGACATTTCCGGGCTTTTACCGCACGGATTTGGGAGCAATCGGATGTTTTCGGAGATTTTACCGCACGGCTTGAATTTTGACGTTTGTCAATTCTGACTGTCGTGTCAGTGAATGTATTCGTGTTGTTTTGCAAAAATGGACCCAAAAACTAACGGTCGTAGAAAAAGTATAGTATGCAAAACGTTCGGTAAACTTTTTAACTCACTCGTTTATTAAAAACTCGCTCCGCTGCGCTTCGCTCGAGTCTAATGCCGTTTACCGCACCTGCTTAATATACTATTGTCATCAACCAATTTGTCATAGATATAAGAAAGTGACTAACTGATACGAATTAAGGAAAGACCCGGGCAAGCTGTAAGATTGAAATATGACCGAACCAGTCCGTACTTTGCTTAAAATTTAATTATTTGGGGTTTTGTTAGGAAATATGTATGTATTTATGTTTAAATCTAAAATCAAATTACAAATTATTTTTATTACCTAGTTAAATTACTTAAAAATTATCGCTTCTTTTTTTCCTCGCTGAAATGGGATTATTCACAATTTTCCATACAGTTGATGTTGGAATTTTCGTCAATGTGGCCGTTTCTTCTAAATATGCTTGCTCGCTGCCACCACGTTCAATGAGAGTCAAATAAGCATTGTTTATAACTTCCTTAGTCTCAATAGAATAGTATTTTCTACATTTGGGCGGGAGCATCTCCTGAGATACACTAGACTCGCACATATTTTGCATAATTCGCACACGATTCACCACACGTTGTATTACACACGAAATAAGAATGATTACTAATAAACTTAAACTAAGTAGTATACCAAACCAAAGAATATTAAATACAGGTAGGTATAAAATTATTTTCTATTACGAACCACAATTTTATCTGAATTTAATTTCCGAAACTTTAGGTAATAATCTTGTTGCATTCTATGTTAATGACCACCTTTGGATAATCCATTCAAAAGCAATTTGTCACTTCCTTATATCTATGAACAGACCATACTCTCGGGTCGATCTCCTTCTGAATTTCATTAAACAGAATTTTGCCGCACGGGTTTGAGAGCAATCGGATCTTTTCGTAGATATTTCCCACGCCTTGAATGTGATGTTTGTCAATTCTGACGGTCATGTCAGTGAATGTATTCGTGTTGTTTTGCAGAAATGTATTAGTGTTTATTAAACACTCGCTCCGCTCGTGTTAAATAAACTCGTGAGTCAAATCCCGTTTACCGCACTTATCAAAATGAAAGGTTTTCTGAAAGTTTTACTTTTTAAAATTACTTTCGTACTGGTATGTGTTTCAATAAGGTTTTTGATACCTAAATCTTGTTAAATAATTGTTTAAATATATAAGAAGTGTATAAATGATGCCAGCGAAATTATAAATTATAAAAAACAAGACCAGGGTGACCAAAAATATAACTTAATCTAATAATAAATTTTAGTGACTTAGAATTCTTTAAAAATGCATCCGAAAGTAGATATTGACTACCTCAATAAATCTTCTTCATTTTTAAATACCACAGACAACTAGATGCAATAAAATATTTAGCTATAGTTAACTATAAGTACTGGAAAGCAAAAAATTAGTCAAATTATAGCCACTTGAAGTTGTAATTGGATCAGAATATATTTTTTCTACTGCCGTCTGTAAAATACCTAATTACTCACCCATCTAGCGTGCGAGAAGCGTCGCTTTACTACGCTCCGCTCGTGTCAAATAAACTCGTGAGTCAAATGCCGTTTACCGCATTTGTTGCATAATATACTATTTGGCCACTAGATGAGATATAAAATGTGGTCAATATTTACTCTTTAGTATACAATTTGCTTACGTGCCTTAAATACTTCTTATGTAGTTGAAAAATTTAAATTAGGTCGTATTTTGATAAAATTCATATGATTAAAAGCATCTTAAGATTTAGGAACCCCAAACGCTATTGAAGCTCACTTATTTTGTTCGCATAATCCAAAACTGCTACACTATGCCGGAGATAACATTTAAAGAAATACCACTTTCATACTATACCACTTTGGGACAATCCTTATAGTATGAAAGTAAGTTTAAATCTTTACCGTAATATGACTTTACATATCCCGAAAGTAAAACCTTTTCAAAAACTTTCTTAAGAATCGAATACATATCGTATATTATGTATTATGAATTATGAAATTTGTGCCTGTGGGAAAATATTTATCCAAATTTTGAGAGGTTGTTTCTCCCTCCGTTAACTGTAAAACTTGAAATAATATTTAGTCATTTTTTCAGCTGTCGATTTGGACCTTTGCTCCGACAACGTTCAAGATGCATTTGTCATTGCGGTGGAGCAGCAGGCCCGGGAAAGATTGGAGCGCCTCTCGGCGCTCAAACGAATCACTCCTGTCGACATGACCAAGTTGTCTCAACAGGTAAACTCAAAGGATAAGCATAAGTTACAATATTACATATTGAGCATATTACAGTGTTACTACACCACTCTATGTGTCTGGGTAAGATAGACACTGTAGTTTTTTTATTCAAAGAAACTTCCTACTACTACAAAACTCCTGGATTCTTCCTGCGTCGGTTGCTGCTGCGCTCCTTCAGAGCTTAACTGAGAATGCCTCGCATTCTACTTTGAACCTGCTTATATATTGTTTCAGGGAGGAGGAGGGACATGAATATTGTCTCGAATGACTGATTTCCATAATGATGACAGGTAAAGAACTCAGTCGCGGTTAAGATCATTTGGTTGCTTATAGATTTCTATAGATTCTCTGTTGGTTGTTGATTACATGCAAGAATTTTAGTTTTACCTAATAAAATTTGATTTGTGGTTTTGTGATTGTATTCGATGACTGCTCGTGCGCGTATTTGTCATAGTCTTAAGGCTTTCTCAAATTCTTTGAGCTGAGTTGATATTTTTTATCCTGTGTTCTTTGCCACAGATGCATGGAATGCCGTGAACTGCTGACATCACAAACGCTATTTTCTCGTTTACGGATCGGAAGACGTGGGGAGATGTGGAAGTTATTAGAGAGAAGATGTGTTTTAATTCTGAGAGTCAATAACCAATTATTTTTGGGCTGGATGGTGATGTGACTATCAAATTGTAATTGAAACCGCAAAAATCCTTAAAAAATTAAAACCTCCTAAATCCATTTCCAAAGCCTAAACGCATTGCTCTAAAATCTTCAAAATGTAATCCTGACATCGTAATCCTAAAAGTAGATAATTAAAATGCTGCGGTAGTCATGAACACAAATGAATATCAGAAAAATATATAAGATATATATAAGACGGATCCTATTCTCAACTTAAAAAAGATGAAAAAATGTGTCACCCCTCATGATTCTAAAATTTCTGGTCTCTACGGCTCCGTAAAATTGACAAACCAGGATTATCCCTTCGACCTATTGTCAGCACCATCTTCTCTCGCAAAACATCTAGGTTCTATATTAAAACCCTTTACAGGGAAAACTGAAGGTTTCGTAAAATACATTACACTAGATCCACAGGATATTCTGGTTAGTTTCGACGTTATTTCAGATATATTAACATCCGAGAATCTGAAACCAAACCCTCCCATCTTAGTTGGAAAATGCTTGCCTGGGACATATTTTTCAAAGACAATTTTTTGAACAAACGTCGGGAACTGCTATGGGTTCCTCATTACCACAGGTCGTCGCCTAATATATTTAAGGAAGTTTTTGAGAAAAAAGCAATCGACACCTTAAACCAAAATTATTTAAACGCTACGTCTTTTGATTTTTGGCCTCATGGTCAAGAATCCCTACTATACACCCTAAGATACGCTTCACAATTGAATTAGAAATATAACATGAAAACCAGATTTGCCAATTGCTCAAATATCTCTTCGAACCGACAAAATACCGTTTGAGACACCATCCGGCCCAAAAATCGCTGGTTATCAACTCTTCCAATAGCAATGAAGCCGAAAGCAATCCCATACTTGCCACTGTTGTCCTTCCTTACATTCTAAAGTTCTAAAGAAATATAACGTCAAAACCAGATTTACTACGTGACCAAAAATCTCTCAACATCTTCGATCCGTCAAAGACAAAATTCCATTTGAGATGCCCAGGATTTACAGCATTCCATGCATATGCGGCAAAGAATACATTGGATGATAAATATCACCTAGGCTCAAAGAACATGAAAGAGCCTTAAAACTAAAACAAATAAACTCATCAGCAGTTGCCGAACACAATCACGAAACCGGACATAAACAATATATAAGCAGGCTCAGTTTCATTTAAGCACTATAGTATTGTAACTTATGCTTATGTAGCACTACTACTACTACTACCTATCTTTAAAAACCCTGTACTATCAATCAATCAATTATCAATTTGTAACAAGTCAATATTCAATGTGCAGATAAAATTAAAAAAAATAATATTCAACTAATTTAAATGAAATTAAAAATTATTTTAAATTAAACTAATATGCTATCATACCAGCAGTTATCTAAAACGTAATCTTTGACTTGCCTAGTTGCGTATTTCGGTGCTTAATTTAAAATCGTTTCAAAATGGGAAAATTACAATTAATTCCGTCGATATTAAAAAAAAATCAGCAATTTGAAACTTTCTTGTTGCAACTTTTTCTTCCCTACAAGTTAGCATTATAATGTTTTAAGTTAGACTTTCTGCTTTTGTGTGCCCAACAAACCTGTATTTTGTATGATTAACTAAACAATACAGCTCTAAATTCGACAATAAAGCCAAATTTAACCAAAAATTTAGGTCATGAAACAAAATCATTATTATGTGAAACATTCTTGACGTATTTTTTAAGCATTAGAGTTTTAAATACATTTTACTTTGGTAACTAACTATCGCGGTATCCAAAAAATATTTTATGAGAAACTAAGGAGACAGATTAAAATCATATAAGATTGCAGGAATAGGTCTGATTTCACAATATGAGTTAACATCAATTGTTAATATGTTTCATTCGTTCATATATTATTAGAAAATTTTATTATTCCGCACACCTAGCCATAAATCGTTAGTTGTAGAACTACATTCATCAGTCCAAATTATTTTAAATAAAAAGTTATTATCCGCTTCAAGCTGGTTTGGGAGCCAATGACAGCATTCTATGTTTTGTAAGTATAATAGTGGTTTGAATGAAATGGAATTCGCGGTCCATTTTCAAAATATCTGATTGATCCTCGAGTTGCATTATTAACCAAACTAAAACTACCGAATTTCAACAAAGCGTTCACTAGCAATGCTGAAATGGGCTGATTGCATTGTATTAAACGTCGCGTTTTCTGCATTTGAAAACGTGAAGTGTGTTTTCAAAAAAGTTTTTAATTTTGGGAAAACATTTAAAAATTTATACCTCTATTTCCGAGATACCAATAGTCCCCTAGAACTTAAAACACCCTGTACATACACGATATTAGCCCTAGTTTGATAGTTGTGGTTGATTCAAAGTAAAGAATGTAGTAGCATATAATATTTTTATTCTTGATATACTAAGCTGCTGAACTTGACTTATAGAATGCAATTTTAGTCAATTTTGTGTTATTTTCAATTTGGGAAATGAATTACATCCTTATAATAAGTAACGGATATTAGTTTTGGTAGGGAATGGGACGTTTCATACACAGAGGAGTAGTCTGTACGAGACCTAGAAATATTTCAATTCAACGTAAAATAACTGAATAAAAAATTACTAAAAGGAAATAACTTTTTCCCTGATCGCCAAGTTGGACGTTTTAATTTATAACCAACTTTTGGTGTTTTCTCTTATTTTCAAATACGAAAATAGACAAATTGTTTTGAAAAGTTACTCTAATTGAATTAAAATCAATTTATTAATTGATTGAATTGAATGAAAATTAAAATGAAATTTAAATTTTGAATCGCTTTCTGCGAATGCGAAACCTAAAAAAGCCCAAGCTAAGCAAAACTAACTTCCAAGAAATTATGTATAAATAAATTGTATCTGCGCGTTGCACCGTACCACCTAGAATTTAATATCATTTGAATTCATTTAAAAAATAAGTTTTTTGAATAGTAATTACTACTGCAAGATTCTAGGATAACATAAAAGAAATTTGGTGAAATCTGGGCAAATGGTTTCGATGAAAAATTTGATTTGGGTTACTTGTGTGTAATAATTTATTCGGGACTCTTTTTTTTCTTTAATTAATTTACACACTAAAATATGCAGAGCCTTTTTGCAACAGAAGCCACAGGAGATTTTATATTAGTTTTCAAATTAATTTTCAACTAATCTAAACTAAAACTTATTGAAGATTAACGGTTATATCCACCTAATTTTCAGTCTTAAGTCTTAAGACGGCCAAAACTCCTTGATGAAACATTGGCATTCGAACCAGGTACGAATTCGAAAATCTTTAAAATATAACAGACGTTCGACTATCAGATTTCAAAAACGCGCCGCAATATTTCTTGAAAGACTTAAGTGTATTCCCATAGATAGTAAAAGTACTTGAAACGCATTAAGGTCATTACCGAAACCGCTATAGATCGATGACGAGAGTTGCTTTTCTCAAATGTTAGGGGCACCTAAAAGGCCAGACGATATCTAATTACGAGCCATATCGGGTTTCTTTTATACTCCGCGTATAAAAATTTAATATCAAGCACATTTTGTGAATGTATTCGTTCAGAATATTATAGTTTTATATTGTTTTATAATTTTCGCATTACCAAATAAACAAAATCAAAATCAAATCTGGTTCCAAAATATGCTCCGAAATGTAACACCAACTTTCTTTCCTTTCAGTTAAATCAAGAAAGCAGTGTGCAAACTTCCGAAGATCTGAATGGTTTTATCACCAATTCTCCTATCTACGTTACTTCTTTGACGGCTACAGAAAGTTCAAACAACAACTCCACAGGAAACAGGTTGGACATTTTCCACGATTTTTTTAAAATGCAATTATAAGTTTTAAATAATTTGAATTTAGAGGCACTCTTGAATCAATATTTTTGGTAAATTGTTATTTTCGAAAGAAAATTGGAAATATCTTGTTTTATGTATATATAATTAATAGATTAAAATTATTAAGTCCAGTGGCGTCCTGGGGGATCGAGTTCGTCGTTCAATGATTCGAGTGAAAAGGATGGTGTACATTTCCAATATTAGGACCCAATTAGCCTCTTAATACACCAAATAACGTTGCTAAATTTTAACGGAATCGAGTGAATATTTGTGCAGATATAACGTTCGTTTTTGTACAAATACCCTAATTGATTATAGGCAATTTATTTCTATTTACCTCTTGAACTTCTCTTTAATCCTGCACTTCTTAGTTAACGTTTAAGATATTCTAAGTGATGTTTTACAGCGCCAATTTGACTATGCTCTCTTGGTACCTTCTATTAAAAAAAGATTTAATTTAACGTCGACAAGTTATAAACACTTATCTTTCGGCTAATAAATTCAGAACATTTAGTCAATCATTTGACTAATTTTTATATGAAAATATTGTGATACAAATTTTCTATTTACGTTTTTTTGCACTTTGTTCAGTGCTTCCCAAATTCGTTGTCCGCTATCTTGAGAATCGTTAGATTGGAAGAATAAATTTTTGAGGGTACCCTGTACCTCGATAGTCTCTTGTTTTATTGAAAACGTTTTAGTGTGCCGTGCTTCAATTGCAACCGCTACATGTCTTTTTTAAAAAGGACAACTTATTGAATGGTTAGTTTAATTTAATTTAGAGGTGGTTAGTTGGTGGTCAATTTTTCCCTTTTCAATGATATATCATTATTTTCTGTTTCTCTTAATGTAAATAAGATTTATTGAAAGCATTTAGATGCAAAATTTAATACACATACAACGGTTTTCTTTTTACCGTTGTATATGTACAACGGTAAAAAGAAAACAAAATATTTAATATCAAAAGGGACTATCGAGTTACCTATTTTAAAATCATGTTGTAACTTCCAAAGTTGTGTATATATCCAATTATGACTTGCGCCATCAAATTTCTCGTAATAAACTGTAGAAAAATGTGTCTTAAAGCATTCTGAAAATACCCTTTAGGGGACGGCTGATTTGTTGTGGGAGTTTGTATACCTCGACCAGAAATATAGCGCTTTTACGTGATTAACTTTGCCTACTCTTTGTTGCTCCAAAACCGCAGCCCCTTATAGAACACCCTGCCCAGGAGACTGTCTTAAGAATTTGTCTACATGCATTAACCAACGGGATATAAGCACGTTTTCAATCTTTTTCGCCAAGCAATTCTTGAAAGATGTACATAAAAATATTAGTGCAAAGTAACAATTTATTAAGTTCGATTGCATTACATTTCTACATAGAATCATTATTAATATACAAAATATTAAATATAATAATAATAAAGTATCAGCCACTTAAAAAATCGTCACTATCGCTGCTGTCGTCACCTAGTTCAATGATTTACTCCGCCACTAGTCGTTCTCGATAAATATTTTCGTCTTTTATTACTCGTTTTTCACAGTTAGACCAGCTTTGTACTGATATTTTAGCTAACTCTTGCCGCACCACGTTTATGGTCCTATCACTAAACTTTGGCCCAGTGTTATTTGTTCTTATATCTGCTTTCAACTCAAACCAAATCATCCCAATCGGGTTAAATATATAATGATACGGGGGTAATGTCAACATTTCATATCCGTTTTGTTGTGCTATCTGTAGCCTTTTCGTGTAGCTCTCTTCAAAATATAAATTTTTTCTTTATTTGAAGGAGTATTTGGAATTTTTCTAATTTGGACTGAATGATACGAGGCATTATCCAACACAATAACAGTATTTGGCGATATTTTTTTCAACAGTTTATTTTCGAACCAGTCCTCAAGTATTTACAAAGTCATGTTTTCATGGTAATCCACGTTTGAATCTTTGACGTTTTTGGCAGACAAAAATAAGACATCTTCCACCCAACCATTTTTGGACCCAGCACGGAGAATTATTATGAGTTTTCCGTGTGAAGGCAGCACGTCTATTACACACTTGTTGCTGTTATCACACCATCCTTTTTTTACTGTGTCATGAGTGTCGAACCATGTTTCGTCTAAATACGCTATTGGCCTATTTTGCTCTCAAAACTTTTCAACTGCATTTAAATAATCTTTGGGATTCCATTAGCACTTGACGTTTAATAATTGTTTGGAACTGAAAATCCATTTTCTTCAAAGAAGTGCGCAACACCTCAAGAACAATTAATGTTTAAGTCTGTCAGTACTTTTTATGCAGTTCTTCTAAAATTAGATCTGCGTGTTGCCCTTTAAAAACTCGCGAAGTACCAGCATCTTCTCTCACTTTCCTCTTGACTATCCTATTTGCAACAATTTTTCCTACAGTTCACTTCTGAACATGTCACTTGTTTTTATTGCTACTCCTACTTCCCCTTCTGAATATCTTATAAAATTGTAAACATTCACTTTGTCTTCAAATTCTGTCTTCTCCTAATAGGGAAACGTCTGCTTCATTCCACGGTCTCCACATTTTAAAGTGTTAAAAAACTGGAACTTTCAAAAAATGTTTAATTCTAAGATTCTAATAAACATTTACCTGAATTGCTAGGACGTACCTTTATCTACCGCTAATATAAACTATAGTCTGTTGTTTACAATTCGAAGAACTACGTAGAAGACACAAAAATACAAGAAGAAGAATATTGTTAATCAACAGGCGCACAAATTCACAGTCAAATACTCTGTAATATATACGAACAATTTAGATTAAAGTCTTTAGGAACGATACATATGTACGCTTCTACTTATTGGAAAATACCAAGCATCATCAAAGCTTAATCAGATTTAAAACGGTCTATTTACGTTTCAAATAAAAATTTCAAGTTTCTAGAAATATTCGTTACGGTGCATCTTAGGCAAGACCTACTTAATGCAGAATAAACATCTGTTGAGATGGGTTTTATCACTGTCCTGCGAAGGTCTACGGTTAACGTACTGTAAAATACTTAAAAAGTCAAAGCAATAAATGCACCATATTTTTGGTCGTATTATATCTGTAGCGGCTAATAAAATAAATGTCTGCCATTTCTCATAATTTTACCAAAACAATGGATTGGCACGAATGCTCCTCGACTAACTTTTAGACACCATGTTTGAGTAGAATGAACAGTTGAATTTGATTAATATGATCGATTTAGATCGGGAGGCGGCGTACTATCGGGCACCACTTCCGTCGTGGCCGTGACTCGAACGGGTGGCAAGCAGCAACCGTCATCCCGTGCTGCTTTGCCGACCAGTCGACCGGAAACTGGACCGTCACTGGCCAACGATCTGCGCGCCATCTCTCCTTTACAGGACACCACCGCGCAGCAAAACTTAGACGTAGCTCAAAGGTACACAACACAAAATAGCACCTTATTTTTTGGAAAGCCATTTTCTAGTATATTCTATTCATAAAACAGAAACGGCAATTAAAGAATTGGTTATTAAGGTTTCCAGAAAAATTTTCTTGCTGAAAAACTCATCTAAGACAAAACTTAAAAATTACAAAAATGAGTTATTATTTAGCTTTTGATCTCTTACATTAAGCGCGTATGTAATTTCACAAATACTAAGATTCAGAAGTCGATTTTATTTACTTTTATTGATTGATATGCAGTAAATTTGAATTCAAATTCTATGTTACTCCACCCTGGAGGAATAAGTTTAATCCACAGAAAAATAACTAGATTATCATGTCGAAGAAGGGGTTCCTAGTAACAACGGACGTTAAGTAATAATATCATATCGTAATTTTAATTGCTCCGGAGTGTTGAACCAAATGGTAATTTTTTTAGTAAAATAAAATAAACGAATTAATGTTTCATTTTTAATAAATTGTTAACAGAAAATCGAAGCGAATTTTCTCTTTAGTCTACCTACCAACCACAGTGGTATAAACCGAGCAAATTTAACAAAATATTTTGATTGAAATAGTATATTTGAAAATTATTATTTCGACCCAAATATTTGGTAGGTGAATTTATTATTTGTCAACGTTGTTCAAGGTTACACATATCTTTTGGTAACTTGTTTTTCAGACAAAACGTTCTTTTGGGCAAAGTCTTATCATGAAAATCGTACATAATTGTCATCTATGGCATGTGAAATAATCACGAACTTCAATAGTATATTATTCTACAAGTGTCTTAAACAACGTTTGAGTCACGAGTGACGTAAAAAGTTTGCCGTGTTGCATACTATACTTATTTTAGAGAAGGCAGTAGAAAACATATTTTTTTCTGCTCCCGTCTGTAAAATACCTAATTACCCACCGATCTAGCGTGCGGGAAGCGTCACTTTACCACGTAAGTTTCGTTTCCCATGAATTCGAGCCACTTCGGACATTTCCGGGATTTTACCGCACGCATTTGGGAGCAATCGGATGTTGGATGTTAGTGAACGTAAAAAGTATAGTATGCAACACGTTCGGTAAACTTTTTAAGTCACTCGTTTATTAATCACTTGCTCCGCTCTTGTCAAATGAACTTGTGACTCAAATGCCAGTTATAAGTCCCCTTAAGCTTTATCAATGCTTAGGTAGCGTCTATACGATAATGTTACTTTACCCTTCATAATTCTTATACGTAAGCAATAAGAATTATATAAATAAGTGTACACGTCCAATTGTAAGTCAATTTTTGACCAACCACGCTCGAATAAAGTTTTAAAAAAATCAAATTCGTTTTCGAAGACAAAAACTGGCACAGTCGGTCGGATTTCTCGCAAAACAAACATCCAAAAATCGGCACTGTTTGGTGTTTTCCATAAGTTAATTCGCGGGAACCTACACAAACAAAAACTGTTCGGGTGGTTCAAGGCTCACAGGACAGCGATTGAAACAAGTATCGTCTACATCGCTATTGGTACGAACAACGAGACAACACAGCTCCGACTTCAAAGATACGCTATGGAGAGACAAGCATCGCTCATCGTATTGGGTTAGTTTTAAGAACACAAAGCATCAAAGAAGACGAAGAAAACAAAACAGCTTCAAATGAATATTGCCGTTCTCAATTTAGTCCTATGGTTTAGATAAACGACGTAAAATTTTACATTTTACAAGCTAAATGATTATCCAGGACTTCTTCCGTGTAAATTGGGAACTGTGAAAATGATTTCTAACTATCTCTAGTTCGTGCAAATCTTTGACTTAAATATATATATATATATATATATATATATATATATATATATATATATATATATATATATATATATATATATATATATATATATATATATATATATATATATATATATATATATATATATATATATATATATATATATATATATATATATATATATATATATATATATATATATATATATATATATATATATATATATATATATATATATATATATATATATATATATATATATATATATATATATATATATATATATATATATATATATATATATATATATATATATATATATATATATATATATATATATATATATATATATGATGACACTATATTCCGGGATATCATCCGTTCGCTCGTTGAACTCCGACTGGAAACCTGCATCCGACTGGAATCCTGCAGACGTTTCGCCAAAATCTCACTTGGCATCTTCAATGCTCGCGCTCCGAAAACACTTCGAACACGGAGCGCGAGCATTGAAGATGCCAAGTGAGATTTTGGCGAAACGTCTGCAGGATTCCAGTCGGAGTTCAACGAGCGAACGGATGATATCCCGGAATATAGTGTCATCACATTTTTCCATCCGTGAATCAATACGTGAGAATATATATATATATATATATATATATATATATATATATATATATATATATATATATATATATATATATATATATACATATTTCTGATATATAATTCTATAATTCAAAATCAAGTAAAATTGCTAATAGAAAAATTAAAAAATACGCTGAATTTTCGAACTCTACTACTACACTCCTAGCGTAAGAAAACCTATAGAGAACCGAATTAATTAGATAAAACCTTTGAACCAAACTGATGCAGAAAAATGTGAAATGCAAATTAAGGAACTGCAAGAAAACAAAGATAAACTACAAACTAATTCAAGTAACGAAATAAAATTATTAGAAAAGACAATCAATATGTTCCATAATGTAATATCCAATATCTCACATAACCAAATGATCCTTAAATCAAAAATACTTCAAATCGAAGAAACAGACCAGAAAATAGCATTTCAACAAACGAAGGACTTTGACTATTTTTAAATATATGTAGTATAAACCAATTGAATGCAATGTACAATTCAACATATGAAATAGTTGAAAAAATAGAAACCGCTATTAGTTTCGCAAAATTAAGTGCTCTACATAACTCAATTATTAATCCGTTGAAAAATTTAAAAATTCTAATAAAAATCTGCAGGGTCAATTACCCCTTGAAATATCTCTCGAGAACTTACAGATTTTTGAAAAAATTATAGAAATTAATAGCTATTCTAAAGTATCAGTAGTTATGTTCATTCTTGAAGTACCATTAATTGAAGCACTACTATCAAATCTTTCCGTTAGTGACAACCCAAAGAAAGTGAAAGCTACTATAAAATGTGAAAATTACATAAAAAGTGTATCATTATCTTACCTCGTCGAATCATCTGCTGCCTGTAGAATACAAAGGGAAACTACAGAACTGAGGACGTATAAACAAAATCGATTATTCTTACACGATACCCGGGTTCCTCAGCTGAATTTTTCCCTTGCTATACGACGGAGAGAAATCCTCGATACCCCCGAAATTGACCCGAGTTCTATAAACCTCGAAGCAAATACAAGAACAATTGAGTGAAGATAAAAGAACAATAGAAGAAATGACAGCTAGAGTTTATATACAAAGAACCAGTGTTTGGGCTATTGTTTTGTACATTTTTTCCTTTGTTAACCATTGTTTATCTTGTATATAAACATTTTGTTTCTACCAAACCAAAACTGAAAGAAGAAATAATCGATAACATTGTAATATAATAAAAAGCACTTATTGCATGCGTGTTTTTATCTAAAGGGAGGAGCAGTTATAAATCCCCTTGAGCTTTACGTAATGTATATATGTGTACACGTACAATTGTAAGTCAGTTCTTGACAAACCTCGCTCGAATAAAGTTTTTAAAAAATCAAATTCGTTTTCAAATTCGTTATCAAAGGCCGCGCTCATCCATGCTGGCCAAACTAACGATTTTACTGCTGTACATTAAAATAAGCACCTGAAAAGTTCGAATCGATTTTCATTGGTGAACCATACCTAATTTTTACCTAAAACAAACAATACACGCTAACATAATGGGACTAGCAATGAAATGAAAGTAATTGGACTTATGATTTTTATTTCTTCGTTAGTCGAGCAACCGCAAATGCAGATAACGGATCCATATACGTAAATTGTTGTTTTTAGGAAAGACGGTAGCCCACCGCAGACGCTGGACGTTCATCAGTTGGGCGACCGCCGTTCCTCTTCGCCATTTCAAAACGGCCGGACTGAGTTACTTATCGGCACCGAAGACAATAAATTCAAAACGACGGCCATTGTGGAGAGCAATAATAATAAACTTACAGTGGAGAACGAATTGAGGTAGGTGTTATCAAAAATTAGATCGAATACAATGAAAGAAAAATTAAAAATGTAATAATAACTGTGCCACTATACGATCTGGAAGCCCATAGGAAATACTAAAAAAAGTTTCATACAAAAGTTTCTTGGAGCCTCCTAAAGATTTAAAATATTATAATTTTGTTGATACGGGGTGTCCCAAAAGTGTCCCCCAACATCAACTTTGTTATTTTAAATAGAACACTCCGTATATTTCGTAATTTTTTGAATCCTTGGTTAAAATAAAGGTCACTTTCCTAAGAAACTCGTATTCGAGTTTTGTATAGTTTAGGCAGAAATTGAGGTTATGTGTTTTTTTTCATATTTTGATTGTCCCATATAAAATATTTTAAAAATATTTTGATATTTCTTTATTATTTTCATGCCGGATTTAACAGGAATATTTTTAACTAAACTTTATGGACCGTGTTAACGAACTCTTTTTAGTTAACTTTGTGTTATATAGATTTATTTATTCAAATTTGTTACTTTGTTTAGTTAAATGAACTTTAGTTATTTATTTTTGTTATTTGGTATTTTCAACCAAGCTAGATAATTAACCATTAAATGTTTCTTTAAATATGAATTCTGAACTTTTATCAAATCTGTATTGTTAGCAATAGGTTTTTTTCGTATATCGAAAGTATTACATATTTAAAAGAAGTAGGTTCTTTTCTTTGCTATTTAAAAAATACATAATGTAAGGCCCGTACAAATCTTAAACCTCGAATATCTCAAAAAGTAAGAAAAAATTATATAAAAGATATATCACAAACTTACCTTATTTTTTATCCTAGACTTGATATCTGAACTCGCCAAAACGGCACTACCTATTTGGGACACTCTGTATAAGCTGAGCCGCATCTGTCAAACTGATTAAGTAGTGCAACATCTCCTTAGTTTGTGGTTAAATTTTCGCTGCAATGTCTGGATTAGTAGCGTCACAATACAATTTTATATGGGGCAATCAAAATATGAAAAAAAAACACTTTTTCTTAAGAAAGTTACCTTTATTTTAGGCAACACAGAGTGTTCCATTTAAAATAACAAGGTTGATGTCAGAGGGACACTTTTGGGACACCGTGTATCAACAAACTTTTGTACGAAACTTTTTTTCGTATCTCCTATGGGTTTCTAGATCGCATAGTGGGTTGTTTTATTTGGCGCACGGTGCACAGTTTCACGTTGTGGTTATCAAATGTTCGTCAAGTTCTAGAATCCGATTTTTTTAATAGTTCTATTAGTTAATAATAAGTTAATAAACACGCAATCTCAATAAAAAAATACTAATAACAAATATGCAGGGAGTTTACTTTACTCTTCGTATTAAGTAACTTATATAGGGTACCCGGAAGTGATTAGTAAACAATGTAGGCTTATAATGAATATTAAAGTTCATAGTATATTTTTGAAAACTCAAAAGTAATTGAGTAATTTTTCTTTCTAACTTTATTAACTTTAAATTTAACACACTTATTACGAATCTCCTTTTGTATTTATGATCAATTATGACGTAAACCCTTTAAAAACGACGGGCTACAGGAAATATTGTCAAAGTTTTTCGCTTAAAGTATTTTTGCAGATTTTGAAAGATCACAATTAAAGATTAATAAAAAAACTTTAAAATGTACCGTTTTTTAGACCACAATATAATGAATCATATTATAATTTTACGCTACTTTTCGTAATCAAGTTGTTCCAAACAATATCCAAATCTATTGTTAAAATTCATTGTATTTTATTGTACTGTTTTATTGTGGTATAACAAGAGGGTATATTTTAAAACTTTTTCAATCCACTGTAATCGTGGCCATTTGTAAAAAATTTTGAACAAAAAAGTGTGGGTCATGGGCAGCTCTTTGGCTAGAAAAAGTAATATATGAAGTTAAATACTTTATATTACTTATTTTAGGTCATCCTGTTTGTACAACTTTTTATATCTCTCGATAATTTTTCGTATCTTATTTTGGCATACGCATAATCTGTTATAACCGCCCAGATAGCTCCAACTGCATTAGCTTAATGGCCAATTTGCAAATTTTTTATTGAAACCATATATGTGGAGATAGGATTTAAATAATATGACGTTACCGAAATCGCTTACATAATATTTGAAAATAATGAAAAATCAAAAAAAGAAAAATATGCAGTTTGACTCGAATTCTGTTATAAAACGAATACTTGCTATGAACAGTTGAGGTATCCTTTCTAATCTCCTGTCGATGTCTCCGAAATTCAAATTAGCAGTGAAAGCTTTTAGTGATAGTAATCAATCCCGTACCAGTAGTCTATCATGTAAACAACAATGTGGTACATCAAAAAAATGCCTTTTGATGTATAACAGCTGCATACGAAATTGAAAATTCAAAAATCATTTATTTTTTAAAAAATGCCACTTCAAAGTTATTAGGACAAATTATGTTCATATGAAGTCTTCTTCCTAAAGTGAACTCAAGGATCACTAAATGAAATGTATATGTCATCTACATCGAAAGCCCAACCTATTCGAAAAGTTTTATATGCACTCTGTACGCCACTGTTAATATTTGTTCTTAAATTATTATTTGTTGTTTTATTTATTAATTTGCTCTTTGGTGCCAAAAACAGGATAAACTCCTCTTAAGAATAAACTAATTATAATACATACCATGAACAATTATAAATACCTAATATTATTCAAAGTTTTCATACTTTGATACAAAAAAGAAAGAAAAAAGATGCTGATAAAAAAAATTATAAACATAACAATTAAAAATGTTAAGTTTTGGGCTTAACATTTTATTTCTAAGAGGGGCATTTCGTCAGCAAGGTTTACTCTACTGTATGTACACCGGGTGTCCCAATAAGACCAACGAGAGGCGGTATGGGTAAATCAGATGTTCCTAAAAATTTGAAAAAAAATTAAGTAAATCGGCCAGAAGGTGTAATTGACATTTTGAATTTTAATTACCGTTTTCTGAAAAATTTTCTTAATGATACTTAGAGTGAACACAGTTTTTTACTTTTTACTCTATCTATTATAGAACATTTCCGGCAATAAATGTCGGTGACTTTAGACTGAAGGACTTTTCCGAGGCTATCGAACGCGCTATGAGTGAGATGATTGCGATTGAGTACCTCGTCACCAGATGCTGTTTTCTTGTGGCAAAAAAATGATTGCAACTATTTATATATGCTTTTTTTTATTTCATTAGATAGTCAAACAAGAGCATAACAATCCAGTGAAAACCGCATCTCAATCTTTATCTTTATCCTAAACTGAAATATGAATAAAAAGATTTAAAACCCAAAAGAAGCATCTCCACTCTATGGGTTAGAATAAAAGTTCGTTGTTTATCTTAGTTTATATTTTTTAAATACAAATATTTTTTTGCCGCCAGATGTTATTATGATCCCTTTTTTAGTAGGGTGTGAAGTTTGATAAACAGGAAAATATACCTATCTGACAAAACGCTATATGCATCTTTTTTAAATAATCAGGGTTTAAATTTATCTAATCTTTGAGTTTTCCGACTGTGGTTGTGTTTATTGTTATTGTTGTTTTTCATACGACATGTTGGTTGTGTTTTTCCAGTGTCATCAAACCTCATGTTGCTTGCGAAATGCAATAGAATGGACTTTCTAGAAAAATTAAATCCTTCCTTGATTATATTTTAATAAAAATGTCCACATTATTTTTTAAAGTGTCGCCTAGTGATAAAAAAGCGAATTTTACCCTTAGTGCAATAGTGGCACAACTCAAACTAAAGTTATAAAAATACGATTTTCTGCAAATTTCTTGAGTTTTTTCTTCTAACTCAGAATGTACCCTGTTCTTGATTCTCTGGGGACTTATTTAAAACCAAATAAATGAAGCTATTTCTAACTATAGTAATTTAACCTTCCACTGAAAATCTGGGAAAATTTTCAAATGTCCGTAACTTTTTATTTCATATTTTTGATTTGTGCCACTATTGTATTCAGCAAGCGATGTCTGGCTGAGTGAGTATATGCAGCAAATTATCCCAAGCGGAGACATTTTACTAGAGAGGCATACAGTGGTTTAAGCAAATGTTTGCTCAAAAAAACGATGAGTTCATCCTAATCCACTGCCTAGAAGAAATCAACACGCTAGGAACAAAGAAAAGTTTAAGAAGAATAAGTTGCGACTTGGATATTAGTAAAACACAGGTACATCGAATTGTAAAAGACCAGTATCTATACCCTCATCATATTGAATTACGTCAGGGTCTTTTATTACCTGATTTTGATAGGAGATTAGACTACTTTAATTGGCTAAATTCTATGGTAGATGAGAATCCCAATTTTTTATCTCGCATATTATGGACCGATGAAGCTACTTTTCAATTTGCATAATATGCATTATTGGTCGCCAGTTGATGCGTGAAGTGAATTATCAAAATCGGTGTAGTGTGAACGTGTGTTGTGGTATTTTGTGTGATCGAAATATAAGACCTTATTTTTTTAATGGTAAAGTTAATGGTTTAATTTATTTGCACTTTTTGAGAAACCACTTGCCGATTTTATTAGAAAACATTTCCTTACAAGCGAGAAGCGATATGTGCCTGCAACGCAACGGATGTTCAGCACACTTTTCCCAGGAATTTTTTAGACCTTACTGTCCTGGACTTTTACGTTTGCGGTAGAGTAAAAGATATTGTTTATCAAACTCGCCCTATTACGGTGTGAAATATGGTTGATCGCAGTAAATACACGACGCAGGATAAATTTCTGCATAGAAAATGACGTAAGGCACTTTATTTATTTATTTCCCTTGAAATATTTTTTTTTGTGTTTTATCGAAAGATACATGTTTAGTTTTCAGAATGTTCGGATAGAGTTATTAATTTATAAGCATTGCTTGAAGTTAAGATAAAGATGCGGTTTTCACTGGGTTGTTAGTGTTTTGTTTGACTATCCACTGAAGTAAAAAAAATCTTATTTTTCAATATTTTTTGCAAATTTTAAAATTTTCAGGAAGA